TACCGTGGAAAAATTGCCCAAGTTTCCTCGGCACTTCTCTTTTGAGGACGTCTCATGCACCTGACAATATAAACTTTTAAACACACTCCACTCCCGAAGATGTACTACCTGGAGGGAAGAACCCCTGGGTTTGATATTTTTAAAAAACTTCCCCGCATAGGTATTTATTAATTCATCCGAAAATTCAAATAGAAAAACCGTTAAATTAATTTTCACGAGTCTTTCTAGGTATAGGTATGTCCACTAGCATGTTTTAAAAAAAATGGGTATACCCTGATAAAAAAAAAAAAGAGCCGAAAATTGACAAAACAATTTTTTACGTCTACATGTTTAAGAGGAAAGACTAAAAAGTAATTCCTGAATATTTTTTCAGATTTTTTAATCCTTCTTATCTTAATAAAAAATTGTAATTTCCTTTGTTTTGTTTTTTATTTAAAAAAAAAAAAAATACGTACGTGAAAAAATTAATTTGTGAAAAATTCAAATTTCAGTTTTCATAAATCATCAGTAAATTAAATAAGTATTATTAATTAAATTGTGACCACATTTTATTTACGAAATCAGTAATTAAATTTATTTTTAAAAAATGCATTAGAAAATTAATTATTTTATTTTAAGAATAAAATATTTTTACATTTGACACAGAAAAATTTTCACTTCATATTTAAATATCCTCAATGCTGATTTATGTAAAAAAAGAAAAATACTTCTTTTGTCAATTATGTCGAAACAAAAAGTAAAAAAAGAAACGTTTTTAATCTTTATTCCTTTTCCTTTTTTACTTGTTTCGTTGCCAATAAGGACGGTGTAAAGGGAAATAATACCTCTCTATAAAAAAAATACCGGATTAAAATCGCTTACTGTGTAGGTATTTTATCCTCGCGCTCCCACGTCGCAACAGAGTGTGACACAAGGTCCAAGTTTTAATGTGAGCTATCAGCAAAGCCGTAGAAAAAATGACTCAAACCCCCTCGGCACTTATCTTTTGGAAAACATTGCTGGCACTGGGTAATGACTCCAGCTTTGACCTGAAGGAGAGATACTGCCTAGGAGGATGGTGTGCTGGGGTTTGTGCTACTAATATTAACTTTAAACTACCCCAGATGGTATGCCCCCCCCCCCAACCACCACTCTTTTTTTTGGTACAGCGGATATTAGATGTGTTATTGGTGGAAACATCTAATTATAACCATATTAATATTATTTTTTTTTTAAATTTAATAAGGAGCATTTCTTAGAAACCATTAATTAATACTGAATTTTTAATTGATACGATACTTTATAGTGGACATTAATGGAATAAAGTGTAAAAAATGATGTTAAATACAAAGAAAAATTTTTTAATCTCCCCTATGGCAGTGTTTACTTATAAAATTATATATCTGATGGGCCTGTAGTTAACCTTTTTGCTGAAAATGAATTCAAATCACAAAGCTATTCTGATAAAAAAAAAAACAACTAATTATTATTGGTAATTACACAATTCCATCTTCTTTCTTCCTTTTTGTTTGTAGCTGATGCAAAAGCTAGTCTCCCTGCAAATGAGGACTTCTTTCCTTTCAGTTCTTTTACTAAGAATGGTCAGTTTAACAATAATAATGACTTCTTTAGTTTTTATTCTTTCTTTTAAGTCAGTTTCATCTGTAGGAATTTCACTTGTTCTGTTTTTTTTTTTTATATTAAAAATCTGAATGCCCAAATTCCAAACAATGACAAAATAGAAATAAAGAAAACCTGGTCTCATGCCTGTTAAATAAATTATTTGTATTTGCAAACATATGTACATGAATTCAAAAGAGCTAAAAAGTATTAAAAAATAGTATTTAGTTGAGTTACAGAATTTGGGTAGTTGGTACACAGAAAATCTGTAGCTTAGGAAAGACTTAAATTGTTAGTCCACAGTAAAAAAAAAGCTGGGGTGTAAAAAGATTTTTATTGTTAGTGAAGATTCACTTATCATCTTTATTGTTGTTGCAGATGATTTGTTTGAAGTCACCAACTGCTCATCCATGCTGCTGTTGGGGATGATTCATTTAAAGTCACTGACATATGTTTTTTTTTTTTTTTTTTTCCTGGAAGAAAAAGCTATATAGCAACTTCTCTTGTGTTTGACTTGGAGGCGGCCACACCACTGCTCTCTAAAAGTTGAAATCTTTCCCAAAAGAACGCTCAAGAAAAATAGGATTTTAGTTTTCTCTGATTGGTCAAATATTTCACATGGTTAATTTCTAACCAATAGACACTTTGATTTAAATGGTGTGTGTTGTATTGTGGAATCTTTTTGGCATGTTTATAAATATTGTCAGTTGTGTAAAAAATAAAGTTTGAGTATTTAATATGTATTTATGTATGTATGTATGTATAGGGCCAGTCTTTTGCTCCTACCAATCTATGATACTGAGCATCCTCCAGTCTCAATTTTCATAAGGCGGTATTCATATAAAATACCAAATTTTATTGTAACCAAATTAAGTACACTAATGGATCATATGCAATATAGGCGAATAATTCAACTAGAAAAATTGAAAATAAATACAAGGTAGCTAAATACAAATTAGAGACATGTCATAAATCATTCCATCTTAAATAAATCAACAATGTTTTGTGGCAATTCTTAACATCAACTTGAGATGTTTCTTGTTAAAAGTTTTAAACACATTCAACATTATGGAGAAAAAATAGTAAATTTTATATAGTGTGGTTTCAAGATTTAGCATGAGCAAATCATTTCACCCCAAGCAAAGAGACAATGCCGCTAGAACACGGGACAGGGTCAGTGCAAAGGTCATGTGCTCTCCTGAATATATGGTACCCCAAAACTATGTTACCCTGAATCCATGATACCGACCAAATCGATGATACGGAGCTTCCTACTCTATGTCATCTCAATTTTTCATAAGGTAGTATTCATATAAAATACAACTTTTATTGTAACCTAATTATGTGTAATAATGAATCATATGCAATATAGGTGAATAATTCCACTTAAAAAAACTGAAAATAAATATAATGGATCTAAATACAAATTAAGAACCTGTCATAATAGATCATTCCATGTTAAATAAGTCAATGTTTTGTGGCAATTTTTAACATCAACTTGAGATTTTTCTTGTTATAATGTTGAATAATTTAACACATTCAACTTTTATGGATAAAAAAGTAGTGAATTTTATAGTGTTTTTTGAGACACAGCAAAAAGAAAAAACTTCATAAACTTGGATGAATAAAAAGAAGACCTCAGAATGATGTCGAAATCCACAAAAAAAAATTTTCAGCCTTTAATAGACAGTTATGCTTAGTTTGTAGCACATATAAACGCAAGCAGAAAAAAGCAAATGTTAATAAGATAGCAAGAATCACAAAGCATTGCCTGAGGTCCAAGTTGAGGGGTCTTTGGCCCTGGGTATATAATTGTGTTGAAAATAGGGCTTATTTCCTTCACTTCCTTTTCTAACTTGACTCCTCCTCATTTCCTTGTTGTTGTACTCTTGATGACGTTTGAAATGGCTGGCGTGGGAACAAAAGCCTAACACAAACATGAGTGTTAGGTGTTCGCTAAGTATGAAAAGTGAAATGATAACATTCAAGTCTTTTATAAGAATTTGTGTTGTGTAGAAAGATGACTAACCTTTGCTACACTAAAGTGTTGGACATGAAAATAGTCACAAGGTCATCGCAAAGAGCATCACACTAACTATGATATTCACTAGTTTTGTAATATTAATTTATGTGATTAAATAGTTCTTTAACTTATCTTGTGCTCCAGTGTTTTTCTTGGTTGTTATACTGATGTTTCAACCCTTGTACCCTCTGGTCTTCTTCAGACCTCTGTTGTTGTACTCTGGAGACCTTAGAAATACCAAATTGTTATAATGCTCATTAATATGAGCATTATAACAATTTATGCTTCCAAGATCTCCAAAGTACAACAACAGAGGTCTGAAAAAGAAATGGTTGAAACGTCAGTATAACAACAAAGATGAATACACCCTTGTGTAAATTAATTGAAACAAAACGAATAATTCCGTTATTATTTTTTTTTCATATTTTTCTAAAGAAACATGACCCAGTGCACATGTTAGTAATTTGTATGTCCATTCCACAAGGTCTTTCCTTGCAGATTGGTCACAGATTCTAGACTGGATTTAAATCTGGACAGTGTTTTCGTGCAGCATTACTATTTTCGTATGCTTCCTTGGAGTAACATCCATTGCAGATAATGGCATAGGACAACTAATCGACAGTCAAAACAATAGTGTCTGAGCATGATAATAATCTGATGCAATCATGGATGACGTAACATTTTTCAAGGCCAAACAAATTGCATCATACACCCCAAAAATATATTCACATTACTGCACACCACTGCAAATGACCTAATCTGAGGAAGAAAAAAAAATCAATTACACACCATCACTCCAGGGGGACTAAAACTGAACGTATGATGAAAGAAAGGAAACTAAAGTGGTTGTTTCAATTAATTTGCACAAGGCTGTACACGTGTTGAAATAGCAAAGTATCTAACAAACAAACCATTTGTGGCTGTCATCAAAAATATATGCTAATTTGGAGAATATCAGAGATTCATATTCAAAGGGAAACAACCCTTGTGGACTATTTACTGTAGAACTCCCACAATTCTTGAACTTGTTCCCATTTTGGTGTTCTGATCATTCAAGGAATTTGAGGAAAATACAAACAAAGGCAGAAGTCTATGTTTGAACACATAAGCTAGAATTAATTTTATCCATCCTAGAAGTTTTCGGCTCATTGGTAACAAAGCACATAAGGTAATTTGTTTCTATAAATCCCTCTGCAAATTTGCACAACTTTAAGTTGCAATAAATATTTGTTTTTATTAATGCTCCGACACATTTTGTTTCCAGTATTTAACGATGTTGACCGAAATAAAGATATTTCTTGAAATGTCTGTTGAGACTCATGTTGTTATTTCATCAGAAGAAAAACGTCAAAAACAGCTGTACCATTTGTTATTTCAGGACCAATTGGCAAAATGTGATGTTGGCCAAAATTGGAATTCTTACTGCGTCCTTTATCATCACAGTTGTGGCTTTGATATTTTATTCTGAAGATTCAGTCACTCAGATGGCAGGAGTAGACCAAGGATATGAACGGCTTGTGCATGAAGTCAAATGCTCCAAGGATTATGATGCTGAGCCGTTTAAGAGTAAGTAGCAATTATTAATTTCTTTAATTTTAAGAAGCGTCTTTAAATATAACCCTGCACATGATCTTCAAAACTAATCTGTTGGGATCTTCTGCAGGGTGGCTACTGAGCAGAGACATCAGGGATATATCAAGGAATTTCTAATCTTTTCTCAAATGACTATTTGAGATGTTGCCCTTGTTGATGCTCTTAAATTAATTTGAGACGTTATTGTTGTATGTTAGGGAATGGTAATATTATCTGTTTCCTTATGTGAAAACATTCAACATTCAATGAATGAGCAGCCGGTGCTACTCAACATGTTTTCTTCACAACCTGGCCATTAGTCTGAGATCAAACTGTAGTATCTGTTCTCCCCATCTATAATGGTAATATTACCTGTTTTATTATAAAGAAACATTCAGCATTTATTGGCTAAGCAGCCACTGCTAGAGTTACGCATTTCTTTCCTCCCTAGCCATCAGGCTGGGATCAATATGGAAATATTAGCCATCACCGTCCTTATTAGGAAATATTAGCCATCACCGTCCTTATTAGGAAATATTAGCTGTTATCATCCTTATTAGGAAATATTAGCCATCACCGTCCTTATTAGGAAATATTAGCCATCACCGTCCTTATTAGGAAATATTAGCTGTTATCATCCTTATTAGGAAATATTAGCCATCACTGTCCTTATTAGGAAATATTAGCCATCACCGTCCTTATTAGGAAATATTAGCCATCACTGTCCTTATTAGGAAATATTAGCCATCACCGTCCTTATTAGGAAATATTAGCCATCACCGTCCTTATTAGGAAATATTAGCTGTTATCATCCTTATTAGGAAATATTAGCCATCACCGTCCTTATTAGGAAATATTAGCCATCACCGTCCTTATTAGGAAATATTAGCTGTTATCATCCTTATTAGGAAATATTAGCCATCACCGTCCTTATTAGGAAATATTAGCTGTTATCATCCTTATTAGGAAATATTAGCCATCACCGTCCTTATTAGGAAATATTAGCCATCACCGTCCTTATTAGGAAATATTAGCTGTTATCATCCTTATTAGGAAATATTAGCCATCACCGTCCTTATTAGGAAATATTAGCTGTTATCATCCTTATTAGGAAATATTAGCCATCACCGTCCTTATTAGGAAATATTAGCCATCACCGTCCTTATTAGGAAATATTAGCCATCACTGTCCTTATTAGGAAATATTAGCCACTACTGTCCTTATTAGGAAATATTAGCCACTACTGTCCTTATTAGGAAATTTTGGCTGTTACTTTCCTTATTAGGAAATATTAGCTGTTTCCTTATAAAGAGACATTAGACTGAGCAGCCAGTGCTACTTTCAGTGGAAATTTATAAAATCTATCTCTTAAAACAATCTTTTAGAAAAAATTGGTTTCTTGAGTCCATTACCTGTTATTGCTCTTTCTAGTATTGATGGGGGGAGGGGGCTGTCCTAACCTTTTGTTTGAAGTAGCATTGAACATTAAAATTTTGATTATGCTATTATTTTCATGAGCTACAAGTGCTATCCATTTTAATTGTTGCTGCTGTTGAAAGTCCTCAAGTGATGTGGTTTCTGTCATTTGGTCAGTCAGTCAGTTATGTGCCATGTGTGATACACGCTTAGGCAATCATGTATCTTTCAATACATGACTGACGAGGTAGATTTTTTTTCTAAAGTAGGTTTCCATTTCTTTCTGTACTAGACCAGTTGCTATCCAAGGCTACAGAACCTGGTCTGTTCTGCTATTTACCCATAGCTGGGAAGAGAAGAAGAGAATTCATACCTTTCCCAAGGGTATTAGCATGTAAGTGAAAGTAATGGATTCAACTGGAATTTGAACTTGGCTCTACGATTCTTCAATCCGAGCCGCTATCCATTACTCCACCGAGCATCAGTTCTTTGTTTGCGCTTACATAGCATCAGTCCACGTAGCTTGAAGGACAATATATTTTTCCCTTCAAAAGTTTTATCAAATCATTAAGTACCACCATTTTTAAAAAAAAAATTTTCCTCCTCTCCACCCCATCCATAGATTTTTCTAATAATAACACCAGGCACCTGCAGATACTGTTATTATTTGTTGACACTGTCTCTATGTAAGACATGTTCTGACAAGTTTGTTTACTCATGTGCTCAATAACTTACTAACATGAGTCAGTTTTTTTTTTTTTATTTGCCTCCAACCCAACACTGTAGGGAAATCGGCAATTGAGTGGTATTTCTGTCACCTGTAGTGTTTTTGAACTGTCACCATTATCATCTGGAATGTTTCCACAGTCAGGGACTTTTGTTGTGAGTCAGGGACTTTTGTTGTGAGTCGGTGACTTATTTTGAAATATGGGTGATCCACCTGTCTTACAACTGGGCATAGAACCCTGGAATGCAAGCAGTCTCTCTAATTTCTGATCCTTTTTTTTCCTATTAAATTTTACTCAATACAAGGCCCAAGAGCCACTCAAGGTAAAGGGTTACTATGTTTGTTACTATGTTTCGGACAGCCACATTGACAAGGAAGGTGTGAGATTTTATCTCAATCTCAAATATTTTATAATCAGTTGATAAATTCTTTGAAGTCAGGTCTTCCAAGCAGCACTGACTTGACTGAATGGAAACAAAAAAAATGAATGAAGAAATAAAGTTTTGGGGATCAAGTGACAACAAAACTGGACATTGAGAATTTCCAGCCATAGGTCTATATTATTAGTCACAGTTGGGATTGAAGTAGTCAGTTCTTGTCTGCCCTTAGTTGGGGACAGGCTGTTTTTTGGATAGTTCTGATGCTGTCTGTTTGCGTTGCCAGCCATGTATTGTGATGTTCAGATGGGTAGCAGAAAAAAAAGAAGAGCTCACAGGAGTTGTCTCTGCTTCAGGAGAGGCTGCCCTGGTAATTGGCTGCAGGAAAGGCTGCCCCGGCAATTGTCTACGGGAAAGGCTGCCCTCAGTAATTGGCTACAGAAAGTCTGTCAATGTTCACTCTCTTTTATTCTTTGTTTATTATCACCTGCAGCCCAAAATACGAGACTTAAATTATACAGAAAAAAGCAATCCAAAGAAAATATCAGTAGCTGAAAAACTAGGCAGATTTGCACTGTCCTCAAAATGGTTCTGTTAAAGTCTTAACTTTTGTAAGGAATAATCTCTATGTACACTTGCAGTAAAATAAAAAAAAATATCTGCAATATTTAACCTCTGTGCCTGCAAAACAACAGTGTGTCAAAAGAATGGTTATTCCATTAAACCGTGAGTACTATATATAATTTTAATTCCCTCGGCAATGTTTGTTTTTAAAAAGCAATGATTAGAATTTTAGTAAAACTCAAACAAAGTAGAATGTGTTTATACCTTTATTCTTGGGAATTCACCACAAAGATATTAAACACAATTTATTTATTAGATTAATTTTATATTTACAGTGGGCTATCATAAGTTTGTAGCCATCCTTGATTACAGCAATTTTGGCTTCTGTAATAACGTTTTTCTTTTTTTTTTTTTTTTTTTTTTTTTTAGTGTGTTAGTATCAAGCTACTCTCATCTATGAATGATAGTTGACTTATATTTTACAATGAAAGTTCGCGGAAGTAAGTAAATTGGTGAATTTAAACGAGGGAAAATAATAGGATGGCACCAGTGTGACAAGTCAAATAGAGAAATTGCTAGGTTTTTCCAGGTGATAACTTCATCAAATCCTTGAAAAATTGAATACAAGCTCTGAAACTAGCAAATGAAGGACCTAATCTATACTAGTTTCAAATACTGTTTGTTTATGTTGGGTTGGGATTATGTAATTAAATTTTGAAATTGGATGAAGTTTATTTCTCCTGGCTAAAAACTTTTCTTAAGCCACTATACAAGATTATGAAAAATATATGAACCAAATATCATGAAATATTTACCATTTTATAAAGAAATAAATATGAAAAAAATTTGTTTATTCCAGAGACGAATATGCAAGATGATAGGTCCTGATCTTGCATCTAGTCTACAATCCCTATCCCACAGATGTTCCATGGCTTTCCTCTGTCTCTTCTACAAGTATTTTCACAGCAACTGTTCCGACGAGCTACTTTTGTTGGTTCCCAGACTGCATGAATTTAAGCGAGTTACCAGGCTGGCATCTTGGTCCCATTTTTCACTGTCAAAACAGTTAAATGTAACAGTCTCTTCTACTCAAACAGCTTCTTCTCCCACACTTCCCATCTGTGAAACTCCCTTCCCCTTACTTGCTTCCCCAGTGACTATAATCTTCAAATATTCAAGTGTAATGGCAATCGACATCTGACACCCTGAACTTGTTCCCTGTCCTTTTCTGTATCCTTTCTTCAGACCCACCTCTTTACTCTTGTTCTTAATCCTCTGTAACCCATTGTGTGCTATTGGCACTCCCACCTTGCTTGTGGGGAATTGCTTTAAAAAAAAAAAAAAATTTATAAAAATATTTGTGAACAAGAAAATTTAAATAAATGTATAGCAATGAGTAACTAATTATAAATATTTAAAAATGCATTTTAGGAGCATTTTTTTTTTTTTTCATTTGCTCTTGCCATATAAATTCACTAAAAAAGTTTGAGTGCATCTCTTCCTCTTAAATATTTTGATAATTTTGTAGTTTTTGTTGTAATGGAATGTCCCACACTCCCTATCGTCTATGTTGACCGACTATATCGGTAGATTTATATAGTAAGCACAAGATATACCTGGGGGACTTGCTTCGGCAATTACTTGGAGATTCGTCTTGAGCTAAGCTAGTCAAACCCTCTGCCTTCGGGTGGAGGGGAACCCAGACAAGATTATGCCAAAGGGTAGAGTCTCATCTGGGGTGGTAGACAGCTACCCGACCCAATTTTTTACAGGGTCAATGGGAAATCTTTGCTTATCTGAGCTTATCCCGCATTAAAAAAGGCCTTGTTCCACATCCTGCCTCTCGGGGTGGTGAAGTAAATACACTTGCTTCGGGAATTACTAGCCTGCTAACCGATTTCCTGTCTTTCAGTAGTGTATTCTCTTTTACAATAAACCTCTCTTTCTTTCATCTACACCCGTCTTGCTGTTCCTTTCACATGAGTACCACCTATGTCTGTTTGTAAGCTCTTTAAAGATAAAACATTTTTTTTTAATTTTTGAATAAAAAGATTTATTTCTTTATAAAATGGTAAATAATAAATCTCTGTGAAAGATAATAAATGTTAAATTTTACTTGGTTTACATAGTTTTAAAATCCTGTAAAAAAAAAAAAAAAAAAAAAAAATTGCCAAGGGAAACAAAAGTGTACATAATAATAGCAGTGTCAAGGGAATAACCATCCTTTTGTCCTTTTTACACATGTATATCCAGGTTGTTTACCATCACCTGCTGAGACATATTTGTAATTCTGCTATTCTGAGGGTTTAATCATTGCCAATAAATCTTTGCATGTGTAGTTTTTCATGTTTTTTTTTCACTTTTTCACCTTTGCAGGCTGCATTCCTAAGGATTGCAAACGCATTGTGTTTGACAACATGGTAACACAAGAAGAAGCACATCATTTATTAAAGTAAGTTCTTTCTTGTTGGACATTCTGTCTTAGGAGCCAAATAAAAAAAAAAAACTTTAATTTTATAACAGAAGAGAGGTGGGTAAAATATGGCCGATGGAGTGCATGTGGCTTGCCTGAAAATTTTACATGGCCGTTAAGCGCACGAAAAACATTATTTGGCTTACTATTATTTTAACTACCTTCTCTCATCAGCAATGTTTGTTTTAACAAGCAGAATTAACAAAAATAATAAACACTATTTATTAGATTGTTTATTGGAATGATTGGCAAAACATCTTCCGATTGCCAATTGATTCAAACTTTATAAAATGGTAAATAATAAAGAATTTCTTAATATTGGTTCACATTTTTTAATAATTTAAGAAATGTTTATAAATTTATGAATAAAAAAATTGTTTTCCCATTTATTTCTTTATAAATTGGTAAATGATAAATATTGCATTGCATTAGTCCTAATTGTATTAGTTTTTGGAATGTTGTAAATATAAAAGTATTCTTGTATGTGGGAGAGGTTTTATATATATATATATATATATATATATATATATATATATTTTAGGATATTGAAACAAAATGTTAAAAATTGCAACATAATAGCAGTTATGTCGCAACATTACAAATATGTCTCAGCAAGTGATGGTAAACAACCTGGATATACATGTGTGTATATATATATATATATATATATATATATATATATATATATATATATATAATCAAATAGATAAATATAGAATAGATGCACAAGCAAATATTCATATATATATATATATATATATATATATATATATATATATATATATATATATATATAAAGGTGTTTCATTAAGACGGATTATATATAAGGGTGTTTCATTAAGACGGATCAAAGTCAGCAGTAAATAAATCAGTGTTATTTGTGAAAATTTATTTATTTCTCTATTGGATCATGTTATTTATTTCACGACAATTACGTGTGAAAAAAATATCGCCAAATGTCTAACAAATCTGAAAGAAAGAAAACATTAGACACTTAAAGTTAATTCACATTTTAAAATCAGTCAAGTTATTGGAACAACCTTTATTATATATATATATATATATATATATATATATATATATATATATATATATATATATAGTCATTCTCAGCTCATCAGTGTGGTTAGACGTCCGTTACCTCTAGCTAGGATCAAAACCCAACTGAATTGGTGTCAGTCGAAGATTCTACCACTAATCTGTTGGTGCACGGCAGGGATGGAGGTGAATTTAAGCGTATTTACTTTTAGATAAACACACAATGACTGAGAGAACTCAATTCGATTTAACGAAGAGTCTTGCATTATTAACCATAATAGTCACTGTTTACAAACCCACACTTCCTCTCCATATATATATATATATATATATATATATATATATCCTATAGTGTAAGAAAAACTTGGAGTTTCATGCCATCTGAGGATTGGTTGGCAGTTTGTTTAGGTAGGAAAGAATCACTCTGAACCGGGGTAGATGGGGACACACCTTAGTTACCTTGATGACAACTCTTCAAGGAGCCAACAGTTTCATCTTGTGATGATGGCAGATGAGCTGTGGCTTGGTAGCCAGCTTCTGAGTAATGGTCAGAAGAGGATTCAGGAACCACTGATGTCGCAGGTGAGAACTGTGGATTTCAGTATGTGGGTGGTGTAATGGATAGCAGCTCAGAATGAGAAATCTGAGTTCAAATTCCAGTCAAGTTTATTGCATTCACTTACACACAAATACCCTTGGGAATGGCACAAATCCATCTCTTCCCCACTCATCTATGGGTTAAGTGGTAGGGTAGACTAATCTGTCTAGTCTGGTTGGTAATGAGTCTAGAAGGACCTCTCTGAAGTAACAATTGTCCATGAACTCTGACCATCAGTAGTAAGGATTGGAAAAAGTAAGCATGTACGGTTTTGTTGTACTCTTTATTAATACATTACTATTGAAGTGTTTATATTTAAATATCACTTAGGTCAGAGGTTCTCAGTCAGGGTTCATATGCACCCTGGGAGTTCATGTAACATTACTGGGGGTGCACACAAAAAAATAACAAAGAGTTCACGGTAATATTTTAGTGGCTCATAGTGCAATTTCATTTCGGTACGGTTGTTACAACTGAGAATGGGATTTTCTACAGTAATTTATGCCATATTAAAATACTAAAAATAGAAAAACAATTCTAAAACTAGCAGGAAACGAGATCAAACAATGTAAGTTTTAGCGTCCCTTTTAATCTACTGGATATTTTGATTGTAAAAAAATTTGAAAATGTTTTATTATGAGTTATTTTACTAGTGTGCATAAATGTTCCATAGAATTTTGTTGTTAATTTATTTTTTTATGAAATTAGTCTTCAAAATAGAGCATATGTATTTACTATTTCTATAATACAATTCCTAAGCCCATCTATTAGCAAGATATAAAATAAGCATTTTTTTTTTTTTTTTTTTATCAAATGGCTATGGGAATTCAACAAAGACAAATGAAGAGTAAAAGTGGTCGATGGGTAAAAAAAAATGTTTGAGAACCAATGGCTTAGATTGAAGAAGCATGGCTCAAAGTTTTTGACAAAGTGCTAATGTTGGAGTCAGAATTGATAGTGGTGTCATTTGGTATAAACTATAAACCATGAGGCTGAAAGTATGCAACACCCTGTGAGGATCCAACTCGCTACTCAGTTGTGATTGATCTAGTGAGACAAGCTGGCTAACCATTACACCATGTCGAAGTGCTCAACAATAAACGAGTATGATGTCCTTTCTAACCCCAAAATACATTGACTGTCAGTTGTGTATGTGACCTTAAATTGTTTAAATCTTAAATTTGTAAAGTTTTTAATTCTTTAACTTCTTTAAATTCTTTAACTTCTTTAAATTCTTTAAATTGAATTTGAATAAGCTTTTTTTTTCTTTTATTAACAACTCTTAGTTTTGTTTATTATATTTTGTTTTTTTTTTTTCCATTTTATTTTGGCAGAGTTGCAAAGAAGGGTCTGGCACTTGGAGGCTCTGCTGGAGGTGTAAGTATTTTGTATTTATTATGATAACACCTCAAGGAAAATGATGATGCCACTAAAAGGCAAGGAGTTACTGGGAATGAAAGAGAATTAAAAGACTTTAGTGAGGAGAAAGGACATGAAGATAGAAAATGGTGATTGTCATTGTATTTAAATTTTTGAAGATTGTACATGGCAGGGAAGCAAGAAACCAGAAGATTTCCTCAGGTGAAAAGTACAAGATTCTTTTAGAATAGAACTTATGGTTACATATAGCTATTTCAATAGGAAAACAATAAGGCTGACTTGCCAAACTAATAAGATTCCTAAATTTATGCGATCGAGATAACATGGAGGAGAGGTCATTATGTGACATTAGAGGACTTGTGAAAAAAATAGCAGGAATTATCACCTCAGGATGTTAGATCAATGAAAATATATATATATATATATATATATATATATATATATATATATAATTATTTATTTAAAATATGATCTACTTTTGTATCGAGCACTATTTTTTTAAAAATAATAACTAAAATACTAAGGGACTTTGGATTATTTACCTAACCAGTTCCTTCCTATTTTCTATATATTTTCACATATATATATATATATATATATATATATATATATATATATATATATATGTACACGCATACTAGCTTAAAAGCTGCCCTTTGGATGGCATCTAAACTAGCTCCTGTAGATGGATCTTGATTGGGCCTTTGGCTTGTTCAAGAGTTTGAGAGTCCCTACGTCTTTGCCTTTTTTCAGCATTGGAAGCTCATTTGGCTGCCGTTTGATCTGGGTTTTCATTTGTGTGGGACTTTCTTTTCCTTGTTTTCCATTGCAGTCTGTTGGCAGAGATTTCTTTTTGCAAGGCATACAGCTGTTGTATGCAAGAGGCAACAATAAACTACAGAAAACTTAAAATTGATGGCTGCATTTAAGTATTGCATTAATGTTTAAGCTTATCTTTTAAAAGTTCAATGATAATTCTTCTGCCACTACTTAATTTAAAGATAATTTGGTGTTTGTAGATCCTTACTTACCATAAAAAACAATTATTTTTATTTCCTGGCTGACTTTCACTGGATTTCACAATTAATTTTGATTACTCCTAAATTTATTTCCAAGTTATAAAAATTGTTATACAAAAAAATTTGTCACAAAACAATCACGTAAAAAAAGAAACAATCGCAGTAATGAAAATTGGGAATCCAAAATTTCTGTAGCATGATTTATTGAAAGTTTGAGAGTTCAAGAGATGAAGAATGTAATCAGGTTGTACTAAAAATAGTACTTCTTCTTTATATGCCATGTCACCACAGGACGTAGGCAGTCATGCCTCTCCACAATTTCCTGTCTTTTGTAGCTCTTAACAAATTTGGTCTTTTCATTATTTCGCCAAACCCTGTTCCCCCATCCATTTACTTAAGCTTATCAAGTATGTTATGTGCTGTTTTTCTCTGTCCCTTTAGTCTTCAGAAAGTCTTGTGAGTATCAGATTTTTCAAGCCATCTTTCTTCATTATGTGCCCCCAAAACTTCAACTCTCTCTTCCTGATGTTTATTATGAGCTTCCTTTTTGTTTCCATTTTCAAAAAAATTCTTTGTCATTGCTCACATGTTTGGTCCATGGTATCCTCAGCATTTCTGTTGCTTAGTCTCTTCATCTTTGAGGCAGTTGTTCAGCATTCACTGCCATATAGGAGGACAGATATCACATAACAATTCAGTACTCTTTTCTTACTGTTTTAAGAAAAGGATTTTATAAGCATCAACTGATAATAACACTAACATTTCGGTGAATGAAAACTGAATGTTTCCTGGATGGAAACGGCTAATTTTACCGTTAACATTTTTTTATTTTTTTATTTTTTTTTTATTTCATTTACCGTTGATACTCGTGTATGAGTCTACTTCATTTATAGTGCAAACCCTGAACTTTTTGTGAAAAACCTGATTCTTTTCATATAGAATGTGTATAATGCGACCCCAGCTGCTGAGCAATACTAGTGGGCTTACCACAGTCAAATATTGTAGTACTGGGCATCATCCTGCTCATATTTGATAGTAAATAAACAGTCTCCATTCTTTTTTTTTTTTTACAAAGCTACCCCAAAATGGTGAGAAAAACCACTTATAATAAAATATCTGATACAAAAATTTAGATATGTTTTGTTTTTGTTCATGTCTGACTATGGTAGCTCCTTTACCCTGGCCCTGTCTTCTGCGTAACTTAAGTTTCTTCTCTTTTGCCATGACATGAAGAGCAAAACCTCATCCACTGTATATGTCACTTAAAATCAACAAATACCTTATATAAATGCAGCATTAGTAGAATTTTTTCTTCTCTCAAAGTTGCTTTCATCTTTGTTTTGCAAGTGTTTACATCATTGAGGTATTACCTTTCCAATGACGACATTTTTGTCAAAGATGGTGTGAGAATATACACCTAGCAAGTAGGTTAGGGTCAATGTTTGTCTTTTTTTTAATTGGTTCTTTTTCGGGAATTTTCTTTTTTTAATTTGCACCTTTTTAACTTCTTTTAATTTATCCTTTTTTGTCTTTTTTTAAATTTGTCTTTTCTTGACTTTTTTAATTTATCATTTTTGTCATTTTTTTAATTTATCATTTTTTACCATTTTTTTTTTTTAATTTATCATTTTTTACCATTTTTTTTTTTAATTTCTCCTTTTTTACCATTTTTTTTTAATTTCTCCTTTTTTACCATTTTTTTTTTAATTTCTCCTTTTTTACCATTTTTTTTTTAATTTCTCCTTTTTTATCATTTTTTTTTAATTTCTCATTTTTTGCCATTTTTTTTAATTTCACATTTTTGCCATTTTTTTTTAATTTCACCTTTTTTGCCATTTTTTTAATTTCTCCTTTTTTACCATTTGCTTTTTAATTTCTCCTTTTTTACCATTTGTTTTTTTAATTTCTCCTTTTTTACCATTTGTTTTTTTAATTTCTCCTTTTTTACCATTTGTTTTTTTAATTTCTCCTTTTTTACCATTTTTTTTTTAATTTCTCGATTTTCGCTGCTTGTTTAATAACTCTATTGTTGCCCTTTTTTTAATTTGATCTTTTTTGTCTTTTTTGCTTTGACCTTTTTTCTTGCTTTGTCTTTTTTTTTTCCTTTTTATCATTTTTATTTGATATTTTTTGTTTTTTTTGTTTGTCCCATTTTCTCTTTTTTTGTCTTGTCTTTTCTGTTGGTTTGTCTCTATTTTTTTTTTCTTGGTTTTGTAATCTTTTTTTTACTTTTGAAGTATGGTTTTGTCTTTTTCTGTTTTTGTTATGTGACATTTCTTAACAAAAATGCAAGTTTATTATTTTGTTTACAGGCATCCATTTTGGATCTTCATTCTGGTGCCTTATCAAAAGGAAATGCATTTGTTAACATTTATAAGTAAGTAATGTTTTCAAACACTTTATAATAAACATTTTTTTAAAGATAATGTAGCTAAGAAAATGAAACCTAATTGATGCAATTTATTCAGACGGAGTATTAAAATCTCTATTCTTTCATTTCTTTTCCGTTCACATAAACTAAAGTACCAGACACTTAGAGACCTATTGCTTAGTAATATGTGGCTTCTCTTTTTGCCTGCATAATCAAAGAGGAAGTCCATGGAACATATTGGTCAAAATGCTGTTCTAAAATAACTAAGATAAGTATAATGATACAATTAATAGAGTAATATGACATTCGTTTTAACAAGTTGTTGTATTTTACCAAACATTTAATTTTCTTTTTTGTTTTTCTAGAGTTTTAGAAATCCAAAATGAAACCCTTTTCACTCCTGAAGATTTTACCATTTACAAGTAAGTTATTTTAATATTTTTTTATCTGAATTCACTATCAGTATTATTATTTTCTATTAATCAATGTTCCAACATTCATTAACATTCATCATATTATTATATTTATTTTATTATTAACATTTATTACATTATTTTAATAATTATTTATTATTATTAAAATTTAGTATATTAATAATGTTTTCTTATATTATTTACTAGTCGAATTACCCATGCTTTGTTGCGTATCACATTTTTTTGCAAGAAAATGATGATTGATATGAAATCATTATTATAATTTGTGGAGAAAAATGATGCATTTGAATATTACTCAATGATCTTGTTGATGTGACCTCTATCTTCTGGCTTTCACCTTCTATATTTTGGAAAGGAGTTATTCCCTTGTTGAAATGAGAGGGGTAAGGAGAAGGAAAAGAAGAAGAAAGGTGAAGAGAATAAGAGAAAAGAAGAAAGCAAGTGTATCATAAATGTATAAAGAAAAGAAGTAGAAAAGAAAAGCATGTTTAACATAAATTTAAGGATATATATATATATATATATATATATATATATTTGATACATAGATGTATCCTCTGGAATTCACTCTAGCCACTTGTCAGGTCATATATATATATATATATATATATATATATATATATATATATATATATATATATATAAAAATTATAACGTAAATATGTTATAAAATCACTACAAAAATAGCCATTTTGTTTCAACACCTCCGGTGTCTTATCAAGTGATGATGTTGAAGAATATTTACGTTATAATTTTTAAATAAATAATTATATATGCTCTACTCTGTCTGTATTGAGCACTCTTTTAAGAATAGTAATTGTTGGTTATTGGAATTTATTCCGTATACACCAATCATATATTTGGGTAAATATGTATGTATTTTTTTTTTCTTTCTTTCTTTTAGAAGAGTCAAAGACAAAGTATTCCAGGCGATCATCAATGAGTTTCGTATTCCTCATACCAAACTTTATCTTACAAAACCAACATTCTTCTCTCGGATGACAACGGCGCCCGCAAAGACAATTCATGATGAATATTGGCACACACACATTGATAAGGTAAAGAAGTATGTTACATGCTGTTGTATTATAAAAAGACACAAACCAAAGTAGTGTCTAAAAACAAAAAAAAATAATTTTTAACTCACTGATGTTAAAATAAAATTACTCTTATAAACCTGTATTCACCACCACAAATTGTTTGCGATTCGTTGATGAACAAGCATCACCACTCCCATGCAAATTAGCACAGCAGACACTGTAGATTTTACAGTAATTCCATCTCTTTGGTGAGAGACTTCATCTCCAAATAGTGAATCATTCAGGAGAAGACAACTCTTACCTACACCAAACAATCTAGTTAACAGCAACGAGGTTGTTGGTCTCGTCAAGGTCTTTTCTTTTATTTTGTAATCGTGTGGTTTTCTATTGTAGTGTCCTACAACAAAATAAGGCTTCTATTAGGTTTTTTTAGCTTGTCAGTAGTTCTAATTTAAAATGTAAATTCTAATTTAAAATTTTTCTTTATTAAAATGTTTATGAAAAAAAAAAAACGATTTCAAAAATTAAACATCACAAAAATATTACTTCTTTAAATGCCATATTTGTCAGTCTTCACACAGTGCCAGTTTTATTTTTTTTATATTAATTTATACTCGATATAAGGCCCATGAGCCACTCAAGGTAGAGAGTTACTGTGTGGTGTTACATGAACATAAGAAATGACAAAAGTGGAAGGGAAATCCATTGGGTTATGCAGGAAATATAACAGCTAATTTGTGTTTGTTTGTTTTTGTAACCTATTAAATATTTCACATTGATCTGCCAAGAAAGGTAAAATAATGTAAGAAGCTGGATGTAAATTTATTATGAATAATGTAGCAATTAAAGCACTTTCTATATACTTTCATCTTAATAAATTGCTTTCTCTTTTAATTTAAGTATTATTTTTTAAATCAAAATTATGGTCAGACTCATTACTGTTCCCTGATTGAATGCATTGTTCATGCATGAAGATTGCAGTCAAGCATGAAACAGACTGTTGCCATTCAGTGTTGACCTCAGTGTCCATTCTTATACTGACACATGCTCAATCCCTAATATTGAATATGTTTACAGCAGACCATAAAAATTATCATTTTTATCATATATTTGTAAGGAAATGTTTAGTTTGTTTTGTTTTACAGCATATCAACCTCAATGGGTTATTTAATGCCGACAACATTTTTAGGATAGATTCGTATGAATAGAATATGTATTCTTTGGTTTAGATTGGTTTGGTTTATTTTGTTTTACATTATATCAACCTCAATGGATTATTTAATGCCGACAACATTTTTAGGATAGATTCGTATGAATAGAATATGTATTCTTTGGTTTAGATTGGTTTGGTTTATTTTGTTTTATGGTATATCAACCTCAATGGATTATTTAATGCCGACAACATTTTTAGGATAGATTCGTATGAATAGAATATGTATTCTTTGGTTTAGATTGGTTTGGTTTATTTTGTTTTACGGTATATCAACCTCAATGGATTATTTAATGCCGACAACATTTTTAGGATAGATTCGTATGAATAAAATATGTATTCTTTGTTTTAGATTGGTTTGGTCTATTTTGTTTTATGGCATATCAACCTCAATGGGTTATTTAATGCTGACAACATTTTTATTGCTGGTAATATTTTTTCCAAAAATGTATTGCTGGTAATATTTTTTTTTTCTTCAAAAATGTTGTTTATAGGAAAAAAAAAAAAATGTTGTTGCCGGCACTGTAGTTTGAACACAGATCACCAGCGAGCAAACATGGACAATTCCATTATTAAATAAGTAGATCACGTGATCGTAGGGGAAATGTATAAATAGGAATTTTGCTTGAAGTCTAAGTGATTACTATTCTCTATACTGGCCACTATGGTATTTCTTTATACTAATCATTACTTAAATTACTATTTGGTGATTACTATTTGAACAAGTATTATTTGAAGCCATTACTACTACCAGTATCTGCATTTACAAAGTCTCTTCTACAAAGAGCATTTTGGAAGTGATAACGAGCGTTCACTGACCTAACGGAAGTTATGAGTGAGCGTCTGACATCACAAAAATATTGCTGGTATTAAAACCTATTTTTACACTTTCATAGTGTTATGATCCCAGTTGGGGGGGTTAACTATTTGCCCATAGTTGGGACTCTAACAGGTGCTACCACCCCAAGTCAGAGTGGACCTGGTGATGCCAGCAATTGTGAGGTGGTTCCACGCTTCTAAAAACCTCCTGATCAGAGGACTTGCTGTTGTATGTAGTTTATTGTCTTACCCAGGGCGTGGAAATGTTTGCTTCATTTTGTTTTGATCTTTCTTGCAGGTGACCTACGGCTCGTTTCATTACACATCCCTTGTCTATCTGAGCACTTACAAAAAAGACTTTACTGGGGGACGATTCATATTCGTTGATGGAAATACAAACAGGACAGTTGAACCCAAAGTTGGTAAGTAAATGTTATATTTTAAGCAGTTCATGACAAGTGATAAAAACGACAGTGCCCTGATAACATGACATAAGACATACAGCAATGAACCAGATCGAAGAATATAAACAGACTTAGAGCAGCTGACCTAAACAGAATAAAGGACAAGGGCCTAGATGAGAACTATGTCAATGATATAACAGTTTGACCCACAGATCACTTAAACACTGGTCTACTGAAAGTCATGGGATAGCTGTACATAATGGTATCGATAAGTGGCACAACCATATGAGGGTTGTTTAAAACGTTCTGAGCCCCATCCAGAAGTGTTGGAGACCGTTTTTCATTATTTTTCAATATAAGCGCCACTCTCTCTCTCCCTCTAATTTGTGTTTCACTCTTTTTCTTCCCATACTTTGTGTGTATCGCTCTCTCTTTCTCTTCTACTTTCTGTGTGTATCGCTCTCTCTCTCTCTCTCTTATCCTACTTTCTGTGTGTATCACTCACTTCCCCTACTTTCTGTGTATCTCTCTCTCTTCCCCCACTTTGTGTGTGTGTGTGTATCTCTCTCTTTGTGTGTGTGTATCTCTCTCTCTTCCCTCACTTTGTGTGTGCGTGTATGTATCTCTCTCTCTTCCCCCAGTTTGTGTGTGTATCTCTCTCTCTTCCCCCAGTTTGTGTGTGTATCTCTCTCTCTTCCCCCAGTTTGTGTGTGTATCTCTCTCTCTTCCCCCAGTTTGTGTGTGTATCTCTCTCTCTTCCCCCAGTTTGTGTGTGTATCTCTCTCTCTTCCCCCAGTTTGTGTGTGTATCTCTCTCTTCCCCCAGTTTTGTGTGTATCTCTCTCTCTTCCCCCAGTTTGTGTGTGTATCTCTCTCTCTTCCCCCAGTTTGTGTGTGTCTCTCTCTCTTCCCCCAGTTTGTTGTGTGTGTCTCTCTCTTCCCCCTCTCTCTCTCTTCCCCCAGTTTTGTGTGTGTCTCTCTCTCTTCCCCCAATTTTGTGTGTGTGTGTCTCTCTCTTCCCCCCACTTTGTGTATGTATCTCTCTCTCTCTCTCTTCCCCACTTTGTGTGTGTGTGTATCTCTCTCTCTCTCTTCCCCCACTTTTGTGTGTGTGTGTATCTCTCTCTCTCTCTCTCTTCCCCCCACTTTGTGTGTGTGTGTATCTCTCTCTCTCTTTCCCCTTTTTGTGTGTGTGTATCTCTCTCTCTCTTCCCCCCACTTTGTGTGTGTGTGTGTATCTCTCTCTCTCTCTCTCTTTCCCCACTTTGTGTGTGTGTGTGTATCTCTCTCTCTCTTCCCCTACTTTGTGTGTGTGTGTGTATCTCTCTCTCTTACCCACTTTGTGTGTGTGTGTGTGTATCTCTCTCTCTTACCCACTTTGTGTGTGTGTGTGTGTGTATCTCTCTCTCTCTTCCCCCACTTTGTGTGTGTGTGTGTGTATCTCTCTCTCTTCCCCCACTTTGTGTGTGTGTGTGTCTCTCTCTCTCTCTTCCCCCACTTTTGTGTGTGTGTGTCTCTCTCTCTCTCTTCCCCCCACTTTGTATGTGTGTGTGTATCTCTCTCTCTCTCTTCCCCCACTTTGTGTATATGTATCTCTCTCTCTCTCTCTTCCCCCACTTTGTGTATATGTATCTCTCTCTCTCTTCCCCCACTTTGTGTATGTGTGTATCTCTCTCTCTCTCTCTCTCTCTTCCTCCACTTTGTGTGTGTATCTCTCTCTCTCTCTTCCCCCACTTTGTGTGTGTGTGTGTGTGTATCTCTCTCTCTTCCCCCACTTTGTGTGTGTGTGTGTGTGTGTATCTCTCTCTCTCTCTCTCTTCCCCCAATTTGTGTGTGTATGTATCTCTCTTTCTTCCCCACCTTTTGTTTCTCTCTTTTTCTTTTATTCATTTTCTTCTCTTCTCTTTGTTTTTTCCTTCTTCCCCCTTTTTCTTTTCTATCCCCCCCTCCTTTCTCATCGATTTTTCTATCTGTTTTTTTTCCTTACTTTTTCTTATTTCTTTCTTGCTTTATTTTTCTTTTGTTTTTATTCTTAAGCAATTTTTCGTCTTAAGATTTACTTTTATCTCTGCCTAGATTTTTTTTCTTTTAAATCCTTAAAATCTTTTTTTTAGATTTTTTTTTCCTATTTATTCATTTATTGATTTATTTATTTTGCAGGTCGGGTTTCCATTTTCACATCTGGGTCTGAAAACCCACACTTTGTAGAGAAAGTGGAGACTGGTGTCCGATATGCTATCACTGTTTCATTCACCTGTGATCCAAGTTTATCTATTCCAGATCCGGCCCATTTGTAAATTTCTCATTTTACAAAACACTCAATCACATTCCTTTGTGTCTGTCTGTTCAGTCACATTAGCCCATAAACAATTGGGTTATATTAAAAAAAAACAAAAAGCATTTATTGGAACATCTTTCTGAATATTTCTGTTAAAAAAAATACAAACCAAAAACTATAAAGATTCTGTTAAACCTAAAACGTGTATTTTTTAGAGGAAAATATATTTTTTTATTTGCGTTGAATGAATATAAAATTAATTTGTTTGGGAATAAACACTGGTACAGTTCAATTTACGTGACAAATTAATGCTAAACAGGGCCATTATTTTTTTTTTGTCAGGTTTTATAAAAATAGTTATGTATTTATTGGTCCATAATGGCCACAAATTTAAAGTATGGAAGCCTAAAGAAAGATAAACTTGTGTTGTTTTTTTTCTTTCTGTGACAAAGATCTCAATCTGTGTCATGTAAACTGTAACTTGTTAACCTTAACTTTACACTATTAAAAAGAAAATTTCCTTTTAAGTACAGAAGCCTGAAAAGGGAACGTCATTTTTATTTTATCAATAGGTTTATGGAGTTAAAGTTTATATAATCTCACAAGATTTATTCCTACTTGCAGAGAGATAAAATTGTTTTTTAGACTTTTATGCTTTAAAATTAGCTAGCAAAAAAAAAAAAAAAAAACAATATGTAAAACGATCCTGTGTCCTCTTTAGCAGTATATTTACTAAATTGAACATCAGACATCATCATACCGTACACAAAATCAGGGTCCGTTTTGACATTATACATAATTTGTAAATGGAACTTTCACTTTAGACAATTAAGAGCCACTTCCTTGTACATTTTTAAAACTTTCATTTTCTCAAAAAAGTGAAGGATCCTGAAAGAAAACAAAAACGAAAAAAATTCGTTTTCATTAAAAAAAAAAAAAAATTAGATGAGAAAAAAAAAAAATTAATCCAAAAAGAATCATTTTAATTTAACTGGGTCTCTTAATCAAAAAGAAAAAAAAAAAAAGAAAAAATGACTAAGGGAGAGAACTCTTAAATGAAAACGAAAATTCGGAAATGAAAAAAATTTATTTAAAAAAATTTTTTTTTTTTTAAATCTTTTAATTAAAATGTTTTAGCTAACTTTAAAAAAATAACATTCTGTCAAAAGAATGGTTTTTCCTTTGACACCACTATTATTTAGTACAACTTTCATTCCCTCGGCAATGTTTATTTATAAGATTATAAAAATATGTACAATGTGATATTATTTTATTACTTTTATTTATTTACGTTCTATAAAGATTTATTATTACTATATTATAAAAGAAAAAGTGTGAAAAGAAACCTTTTTTATTAACTTTTTTTTTTTAAATTAGTAAAATATGTAAGCCATCTACAATGCAATATTTATTATTTAACATTTTATAAAAAAACTATCAAAACAAGTTTTTTATTTATGATTTTACAAAAATAAAATATCAATGAATTGTGCCATGAAGAAAATACCAGGAAAATGAACTTTTTTCAAAATCGATAATTAAAGTTAATTGTTGTTTATTTAAATTTTCATGTTTGACAGGTATTCTTTTTATTAATTTATAAATAGAAAATTTCATTTTCATGTATATTTCTTTAGAAAGTGATAAAGGATAAATATTGTATTGTATCAGTTGGTTTGCATTTTTAGAATATTGCAAAAATAAAATTAATCTTGTAAATAAATACTAATAAATACTGTTTAATATCTTTCTTGTGAATTCTTAAAGAACAAAGAAAATGTATAAATTAACTTTCTCACATCTGGGCTTAATTAAAATTCTAATCATAGCTTTTTACAGCACTAAACATTGCTGAGGGAGTGAAGGTCGTTAAAATAAAAGCTGTGTCAAGGGAAAAAAAAATCATCCTTTTAACATACTGTTCTATTGCAAGCATGGATGCTAAAGATTGCCAAAAATTGTTATATTTGACTTGTACTTAGTATATTTGGAGAATGCTATTGGTAACTAGGAAACTTCATTTACCACTTAAGTCCAAAAAATAATTATTTACCCAGCCAGGCCCTAAAAATCATTATTCACCCTGTCAAGCCCTAAAAATCATTATTCACTCTGCCAAGCCCTAAAAATCATTATTCACCCCACAAGGCCCTAAAAATCATTATTTGCCCCGCCAAGCCGTAAAAATCATTATTCACCCAGCCAAGCCCTAAAAATTGTTATTCAATCCGTGAAGCCCTAAAAAATCGTTATTCACCTTGTCAAGCCCTAAAAATTATTATTCACGCCATCAAGCTCTAAAAATTATTATTCACCCAGCCAAGCCCTAAAAATCATTATTCACCCCATCAAGCCCTAAAAATTATCAGGTTAAACATTGTCTTTTTATTTTTCTTTACTTTTGAATTGGCATCTTCATAAAGATAGTGAATTGTTTTCTAGTTTTCTTCTCATCGACTAGAACCCAGTCCATCCTGTTATTTAATTTATAAAACTGGAATTTGAACTCTGCCGATTCCACTCTCTGTATGATTGAAAATATACTAAGAATTTTTTCTGTTCATTTATAAATTTCTATATTGATTAGACTAATGTCTAAGGCAATGGTTCCTAAACGGTGTGTCGGAAGAGGATAGGCAAGAGAACAATAAAAGAATAGGAATTAAGGACATAATGGTTAACATTGCATTTATATTTTTGAAGATCAAAGTTGACCAGAAAGCAAGAAGCCAGAGGCGAGTTCCACAATCAAGAAGTTCGAGGGAAGGAACTGTCACCATAGAACTTAGTTACATGAAATATTGATTTATTAGCATAGTTTATTGGAACGTCCAGTAAGTATTGAACTTGCCACAGTTGTAATTGATTTATCAAGGCTAAGAAGTTTGAGAGAAGAAATTCACTATTTACATTATTCGGACTATTATCCTCATCTTTGTCACCATATTTATTACAACCTTTTGCCCATTGTACGCTCCAGCCTTCTTCAGGTGATTGGAATATCAAACTGAACCAATAATGTAAATAGTGGACCGTACAACGGCCGAAATGTAATAAATATGGCTACAAAGATGAGGACAATAGTCTGAATAATGTAAATAGTGTACATAATACTTCATTTCAGAAATATAGACAGATACTGAAAAAATTGTCAGCATAGAACTTACCATTATATCAAATATTGATTTATTAGCATAGTTTAGATATAACACAAGGTTGCACTTTTGGAATCCTCAGGATTGACCGTGAGTAGCATCCTAATTCTCTGCTTAGCTGGAGCATCGATGTCAGAGACTGTAGAGGCTGATGCAGGAGTGACAATCTCTGTTCCAGCGGGTCACATGTGTGTTCAGATAAAAATTTCTCTGGTCTGTTGGAGCTGTCATTTTGCGTTTTGCGGGCCCATCTTTCCATGACAACTTGTGTCAGCTTCTCCTCCCCTGACTTCAAGTGTTTGGTCAGGGTTCCTCTCCATTTTGATCATATGGCTGCCAGGCTCTCCCAGGACTCTGTCCACAGCTTTCATATTGCATTTCACAACATTGCGGTACCGCAGCTGTGGCCACCTGGCGGGTCTCCTTCCAGTGGCCAGCTCTTCACACAGGAGGTCTTTAGGGATGCGGCTGTTTGGCATGTGATGGACATGGCCCATCCAATGGAGTCTGGGCAGTGTGAATCTTTGGAAAACCCAGTAAATATTGAACTCACCACAGTTGCCTACTACAAGTGACATCTTTAGTCACAACCCCTGCTATGGAGAAAACATGATTTAGTTGACATATCAAATGCCGAGATTACTTAACATAACAACAGGAGATTGTTCATAATCTCTGAAGCATTCAGTGACTCAAGCAGAGCTTGTCATCAACAACTGCGTCTTACCCATGGAGTGAATCCGACCAGAAACTTAAATCAACAACTAGATTTTTTAACTGAAGCAATAAGCTATTTTGGTGGTTGTTGAGTCATTTAGTGACCAGGACAGCTATGGATTATTGCCAGACATGATCTAAGTAAATGTTTTATTGTTTTTAGAGTCAAGTGTTTCCCTTTCAGCTAAATTTGAACTGATGACTTGTCAGCCAGATACATTTCTGTGCAGCACAGAGAAATGATTTTTAAGATTATTACTTAAGTACCAGTTGCTTCACTGACAGCAAGATGACTGAATCTAAATTGTTTGTCTCTAAGATACAACATTTTTTAGAAAATTATATTCAGTTTAAATACAGAAGGAATCATATAAATAACATCAAAGGGTTGCACAATTTGGTTTACATACTTTTGTTACCCAGAAGTTGTTGCAAAACAGAATGTGGAAATTACCCCTTGATACACAAAGGTCCATCTCAGTTTCATTCAAATTGTGCATGTGTACGTTTGTGCATGTGTATGCGTATTTTTATTCAATGACAGCTAAAAAAAATATTTCTCCTATTTTTTTTTTTTTTTTTAAGCTTAAAAAAAAATTGTATTTTTTTATCAAATAATTTCCCCCAAAAAGTTCAGTAAAATCTTACAATTATCTGATGTTTTAAGCATTATTTACATTATTTGGACTGTTATCCTCATCTTCATTGCCATATTCACAACATTTCGGCTGTTGTACACTTTGGCCTTCTTCAGGTGATTGGAATTTTGAACCAAACCCTTTATTTCATCCACTGGGGGTAGATTGTTCTAGTTCCACATGCCATGCCTCTTCCGGGTGTCTTAGTTATTTTCCTTTAACTCAACTCTCCATGTTTTGGTTCACCACTGCTTTGGCCTGGTAT